AGTTTCCTTGTAGGTAACTAACTGCTTTTCTCTTGCTGCTTTTAGGATTCTCTCTTTGTCTTTAATCTTTGGAATTTTAATTATGATGTGTCTTGTTGTGCACTTCTTTGGGTTCGTCCTGTTCATCTGTTCTTCCTGGGCTTGTATATCTATTTCCTCCACCAGGTTAGGTATGTTTTCTGTCATTATTTCTTCAAATAAGTTTTCAATTCTTTACTCTCTCTTCTCCTCCTGGTACCCTTATGATGGGAATGTTGTTACACTTGATGTTGTCCTAGAGGCCCCTTAAACTCTCCTCATGTGTTTGGATTCTTTTTTCTTTTAGCTGTTCTGATTTGGTATTTTCTGTTACTTTATCTTGCAAATCACTGATTCTATCCTCTGCTTCCTCTAATCTGTTGATTCCCTCTACTGTATTCTTAATTTCTGACTAGTTCTTTTTTATGTTTCCTATCTCTTTGTTGAAGTCCTCACTAAGATCATTTAGTATCCTTATAACCAGTGTTTTGAGCTCTGTATCTGTTGATTGTCTCCATTTTGTTTACTTCTTTTTGTGAAGCTTTGTTCTGTTCTTTCATTTGGGACATGCTTCTCTGTCTTCCCATGTTGGCTGCCTCCCTGTGTTTATTTCTATGTATTAGGTAGACCTGCTATGTCTCCCAGTCTTAGTAGAGTGACCTTATGTAGTAGATGTCCAGTAGGACCCAATGACACAGTCTCCCTTGTCACCTGAGCCAGGTGTTCCAGATCTGTTCCTTGTGTGGGTTGTGTGTGCCTTCATGTTGTAGTTGAGCCTTGGTTGCTGTTTGCACATCAATGGGAGGGATTGATCCTTGAGATGATTGGTTGTGAGGATGGGATGTGACTACAGTGGAGGAGCTGTTGTGCAGGGGCTGACCCCACAGAATGGGATTTACTACAGCAGGGCTCTGGTGCCTGTCCCGTCCTTCCCTTTGGGTGTATCTTTTGTGGAGGTGGTTGGGTGGTGCTCTGGTGTGTCTGAAGCTGACCACCAGGTGTGTTGGTTCTGGGGCCTCTTGGGAGGGACTTTGTTGCAGGCCAAGGTCAGCCGCTGCCTGTTCCCTGCCCAGGGCCAGCTGGTATGAACTACAAAGTGATCTGCAGATGGTTGTCACTTGTGCTGGGCTTGGAGGTGCCTGGGAAAGGCCAAGCTGAGAACTGAGGCCAGCTTCCACTAATGCCAGGCTTAGGGCTGCTTAACAAGAGGTACAGGGCACACCAAGGCCAGATGCTGTTTTTTTGGGGCTTGTGAACCTTAAGAGATTTTAGCAAAGTCTGCAACATGATCCAAGATATGCCATTTGTATGGAAAAGCCACTGGAAGCGACCGAGATATCTCTCCCGATTTTTAACCACCACACACAGGTGTGGAACCAACCCCGTTCAGCATCTCCACCCCTCCTGAGAGTCTCACAGTGGCTTCTTCTGTATATCCTTAGTTATAGGACTTCTCTGTTCAGCTAGATTCCAAGCAGTTCTCAATGATGGTGGTTTTGTAGTTTAGTTATAATTTTGAGGTGGTCATGAGAGGAGTCCAGCACAGCATTTACCTATTCCACTGTCTTGACCAGAACTCTGGCCTTAAATTTAATATTTACATCGCCATTCTTGCCTTTGGATTTTCTTGACATATATCTGCTCAACCATTTATTTTCAAACTTTCTTTGTCGTTTTATTTGAGAGAGTTTCTTATACATAGCTTAATTTTTCTTTTTTTAGCCCAATCTGAAAGTTTGTTTTTTTGAAAGCAAAAGTCAACCCATTCAAATTTATAGTGGTAACTGATATATACATTAATATATATATATATATATATATATATTTAATTCTTTTCATTTTAGTTTTATTTTTACTATTTAGTATACTTCATTGTTCTGCCCTTTACCCTCCTTTCCTTAGGTACACTGGTTTGATCCTTTTTAAAAAGTTATTTCCCCCTCTGTTAAGTTGAAATTTTTCCTATGAAGTGTTTATTTCTCTTCAATAAGTTAATACTTTTTTCTGACCGAGTAACCATATTCCTATATCTCAGAGACTCATAGTGAATATGCTGAGGAAGAAGTGCAATTTATTTCTTCAGTAGTGCGATAAGGTCACTGGTGCCATGTAATAACTGAGGAAGTTTATTTCCTCATTTCCTTCAATTTCACACATAGACGGCAATGAACTCTCTTATGCAGAGCTGGAAATGAGCTCTGTTTTGACTGAGTGCCACCCCTGTGTGCAGCACTTTTCAGATTTCTTTCAGTCTTAGCTATTGAAGAAAAAAAGGAAAGCTATTATGCTAGATTGTAAAAGTCCACATGGGAATGCATTATATAAGTATTCATCCTTACATTTCTCTGAGTCTTTACTGAATGCAAAACAAGTTATCACAGATGATAAAGCAAATACCAATAATAAGTAACACTGCAGTACATTTTGTGGCTTGCTTATCCCCATTGCATTTGTTTTAAAAGAAGTTTTAAAACCTTTACCCACGGAAACCTTGAGCTCTACAGGGTTTGTTATAGTTTGGTAAGGACCTTGCATATGAAATTTAACTTTAGACTGCTCGGTGACATCATTAAGCTTTTTTTTAATACTTTTACCTTCACATGAATATATTACTTCCGAAAGAAGCCTTTTTTCTCTTGTCTGGCTCCAAATTATACCTTCCACTTGATAGCAGTATACTTGTTCCCAAGAGCAATCACAAATCCTACAATTAAGTGAGTCGTACAAGTGTTACCATCTAGGTAGAAATCCTGCTGTTTGTACCATGGGGGACAATATAAAAGAAGAAACTAAGGTTGTGTTAAAGCCATATAACTTCTACCCAACTCCATCATTCTAATTTACTTCCTTAAAAAGAAAAACTATTATTATTTTAGATTCCTTAGGGGTATCAATCCAATTCTGTTTTGGCTACAAATTGGTATAGCTTTTGAAAAGTCTTAGGATAATAATCTATACAACAAACTGTTGGGTTGTCGGAAAAGTCATGATGTATTTTTTCTGTTTTTCGTTGCAAAAATGCATCATGACTTTTCTGACAACCCATTATTTGTACTCTGCAAATTTATATAATAAATCAAATAAGAACATATTACATATAAGAAACTCTCCATCTTGAAACATTATGGTTGTAATATTTGTCCCTAGGGCTCTCTCTTGCTTTAGCATCAGGAATGGAGTGAGCTCCTCCCAGTATCTGCCACTCGCCACGTACTGTTGGGGCAAAGGCACAAAAAATCAGTTCTGTTGTTGGAAATACCTCCCTTCCAATCACCACTATTTTCCTGCAATGTTTCAGGAAAAGAGAGCAAGGCATGATGTCATAGAAAGAGAGTAATTAATAAATTTTAAATCTGCCACTTCCTTCTGTTCTTAGGTATTTTTCCTCTAGCATTGACTACGAAAGGGCTGGCCTCACTTAAGACCCAGAAGAAATAAGACAGGTTTGAGCGTAAGAAAGAAAAGTATCTGACAAAAATAAAATTATTTTAGGAAAATACATATAAGTAAGCATGTTATCAGATTTGAACATTAAAATGTAGCATGAGTTTAACTTTACTGGCTACTAATATCCATTAAAAATGAGGCTTCACAAGATTGGTTATATGTTGAAGCTAGATGATGGGTTCATAAGGGTAGAAGTTGGATTCATTTTTACTATTCTTTTTATCTTTGGGGGTATGTTTTAAGCTTTCCATAATAAATTTAAAAAAAAATAAGTGAGGTTTCAAAAAACTGCTCTGGATTGGTCAATTCTGAAAAAGAGATTTCTCTTTTTATGCCCCATAAAGACATCATCATAAAACATGTTCATCAATGGAGTTCAAAACTGCCTGGATTTAATACATTGACGAAATGCTTCAACCCTGTATATGAGTCTTGCAGTTGACCCTCTATGACTGAACTTGAACTTGGAAAAAAAAAACAGACTCACATAGCTTTCATTGGTTAATTGAAAAAACTAAAATTGTAAATTTTCAGTAAGAGACGACAATACTTACCAGAAATAAGTAATCAATTCTCTAGTTATTTTTATGTTCATGTTATTTGGACCCAGAGGTATTAGATGAGGAATCAGAAATCTATAGAAGCCAATCCCTAGAATATAGAACTTACTTTATCTCTTTGTGTTTTCATTTTTTTCTCTAGTTAAATGAAAAGAAACCCTGAGACTAAACTCTATATCTTCCAGAAGCATTTTGAGGAAGAACCATATTTGAAAGATTTTTTTCCAATGTATCATATAGAATTCTATTACTACAGAGAGACTGTCTTCTTTGCTAAGAACAAATAGAAAATAAAGATTATAAATAGATGAGTCATTCTAAAAGTCATAGCGTCATCTCTTTGTAAAACTTCCCACGTAAGGTGCCACATTTTTTCATTTTCTTTGCAGCTGGCCTGAGCTTAGAGAGATGATCTGCCACTCAGAATATAGAAATATGCCTAATTCATGTCTAAGGTACAATACGGCTGATGTAGCACAAGAAAGTCTCTGAAACTTTAGAAATACGTTGAAATACATTGTTATTTCAACGTTGTTAGTGGGTTAGAAATACGTTGATCTCAAGGAGTCCTTGTATGATAGATGTGACCATGGAACACGCTGTGACTTTTTGGTTGGTTTGCTTAGATTTCATACAATTTTAAGGTACTATGGGGGTGAAATGCACTAGAAGAACATGGCACACAGTATCATGAAGATGTGGCGTGGCTTTGCCACTTGGATAAAATTAAATCCTGAGAAATAAAACTAAAGGAACTGACTGTCAGGAAAAAAGGAGAAGACAACTTTGAAAAAGTCAATCAGATTATTTGCTGAGTTCCTGTGCTGAAGACATTTCTTATATTTCCGCAGCTAGTGAATCTTGGGTTACAAAATACTTTCACATTTGTTATCTCATTTGATCCAACCAACAACCCAGTGAGGTGCGTGGGGCAAATTGAAGAAGAGGAAATTGCATCTCAGAAACTTACGTGCTTCCTGAAGACCTTATTCCCAGCGGAAGGGGGCCAGAGGTACAACTACCCAGGTCTCCAACTAAACTGAGCTACAGTCATTCCCCTTCAACCATCCAGTATTGTGCTCCTCCGTTTCGTGTTTTGTCTGTGGAAAATTCAAAAGAAGTAAAGACATGACCCCTGCCCACAGCAAGTTTGTGATCTAGATGAGAAAATGTAAGTTTTATATAGTGAAACAAGCAGAGAATTATGAAGTGTTAAACTGTATGAAATGGGCTGTTGACACAATAACATTGGGATCACTTGGAAAATAAGGTGCTATACATTCTACCCAAAGCCCTAAAAAATATGTTTGGAGGTTCCCAAGAATACTGATCAACTGAATGCTTCTCAAGTCTTCCAGCCAGGCCATCAGTGCTCTCCTGGAGAAGACTCATGCTTAGTTACTGACCAAGAGGAATGCCTGCAGAGGAGAAAGGGGAACACAGTATCTTCTTATACCTTATCATGTACTTGCAGATCCAAGCTTGCCCAGCTCTGCAGAGACACATCGTTGCTTGCAAGAGCCGCTTCTTGAATGGTCAAATTCTTCTTGGGCTCTGTTTGTGCCTCAGACTGAGAATCGGAAGCGTGTAGGAACTAGTCCCGAGCCCATCGGTTGTTAGTTCCTCTGGGCCATCAGTGGAGGCCACCAAACCAATTGCCTCTTCCTTTACCTAGTTGCTAAGGGAGTCAAGGGAACAAGTTCAAGTTTTAAAGAGAAAACTACCTGGAAGCAGGAGAATTGGAACATTTGTTCTACACTCAAAGGGACCATGACTTCAAAGGTCTGCGGGGACTCTGTGATCACTTTTATTTTCTGATGTCCTAATGCTCAAACCTCAAACTTTTCAAACCCATGTTTGTCTCAGAAGCAAAAGTCTATTGGAAATATCTGTTCTTTCTTTGTCAGCATAGCAGGCCTGTCCTCAGAGATAGCTGCAGGCCAGTCACCGTCTCTTCCTGTCCATGTCCTCCCCACTGAGTGGCATATTGCCTGGGAGGCCCCATGGGGACTTCCAAAGCCATCGGTGAGTGACTGGCAGCAATCCTTTAAAAAAGAAAAATGCACAGGACTGGCCCGGTTCACCAGCATTATGGACATTCTTATGTAGTCTTCTTCAAAATGCTGACTTACATAAGTGTCCATTGGCACTGGCCGGCATGGATGGATCTAGTATAATCCTGTTTGCGACCAGGGAGGAACAGCAGGAACATGCTGTGCTGGACATGCTCCTCAGGCATCAGTGCATGCCCACTTGAGAGGTGGAGAGGGCAGTGGGAGAAATCAGCGTGGAGTTCAGAACGCAACCATTCTGCTCTGTGAGGAAACGTGAGAGTATACTTTGGAAGCACCGTCCATACCACCACCAACATCGCTCACTTACACTAAGCATTTGAGTGCCAGTGTGAGCTCAGTCCTATCTGACTCCTAAACCCAGGCACATAACCACTACCACTGGATCGTCCAAGTCTTCCAAGGTGCAGCCTTGCAGTTGCTTTTCCAAGAATGACAATGGATTTCTGCTGAGTCACTCAGACTCTGTTTCATCGAGTGGTTATGAGCAGGACTTTGGAGCCAGCTCTGTCACGTACTATCTGAGTGGCTGTGGGCAAGTTACTTATAAATTTTCCTAATCTGATTCTCCAAATGCAAAATGGCAATAATTCTACCAGCTACCCCATAAAGTTGTTAGGAGGAGTAAATGAGGTTAGCCATGTGTTAAGGCACAAAAATTCAACCAAGTAAATGTGAGGATCTAATTGGCTTTATTGAATAATTTATGAATCATGCAGCATCCCATCTAGTCAATAGAAAGATGCTCTGAGAAGCTAGACAAAATGGGAAGCTTTTACAGGGAGCAATGGGGTGGTCAAGAAAGCTAAAAGGGGGCATTATTTCAGGCAAGGTCACCTTCCTTCAGGGAAAGGCTAAGGGTCTTTTTGGGCAGATGACTTCACACATGCTGACCAGGAAATTCCAGACTGATTGGTTTAAAATTCCACTCCTGGGAAAGGCTGGAACTGCGATTACGTTAGTTATTTGTTTTGGTGGGTCTTACCACAAGTGACTCCATTTTGGGTCTGATGTTTCTTTTTAACACATGTAAAGAGCTGAGGACATTGCCTGGCACATATTATGTACTGTATAAGTGTTAGCTATTTTCATTTATTCATCTAATATTAATTTAAAATCTCTGCTGTAGACTGCTAGGTGTTGAGAAGTAAAGACAAATAAAACACAGTATGTGCCCTCCATGGGCTTATACTCTATATTATAGGCCTATGTTTTATGATTGATTGATTGATTGCCTAGCACAACAGTTGGGAGGTACTCCATAAATGTTTTTGAATGTATAATTGGACTAGGAAAATGGGCAAGTATGACAATAATTTGAGTTAAAATGATTATCTTTAACAGTGCCTGGCACGTCATAGACACATGGTAAGGCACACGGCATTATTAGCTATTTTAATTATTCATTTAGTAGAATAAATGCTGAGACTGAATGTGCGGACGGGAAGTTGAGTGTAAGGAGATGGAGGTCCACTCAGGGAAGCCTTCCAAGAGGCAGTATCACTGAGCTTGGTTTTGCTCAGTGAGTGGGCGTCAGCCAGTGAGAGAAGAGAGCTAAGTGCGCTCCAGGAAGAAAGAACATTGTGTGCAGAGCTAGGGAGGCATGAAATAGCACAATACATTCAGGGAGCTCCAAGTAGGCAAGTACGCCGGGAGCCCCATCCTCGTTGTGACATCCAGCGTGCATTTGTTAAATGAGTATTTGAGATTAGAGGCTGTGAAACTAAACGAAGGAGACGTCGTTTGTGTCACCCTGGCCTTTAGCATGAACTAAATAGCCAGTGACGGACTAAGAGACTAGGGAGTTTTAAGTCGTTCAGTATAATACATGCCCTGTACAAATGCTGTCAGTCTACACAGCATCATTATTCTGTTGTCAGCCCCCTTTGGTCTTCTAATGGAGGAAGTAAATGCACTTAATTCACCTGTTTTTTTCAGAGCAATTGAGATGAATTACACTAAAGTTGATGGGATCATAATATAGAAGAAGATGTTTTTGCACAGTAACATAGATTTCTCTAGATCGGGGAAATAGCAAACGATGGCCTGGGGGCCAGATCCTATCTACCACCGATTTTTATAAAGTCTTTTTGGAACACAGCCATGCCCATTTGTTTACATGTAGTCTAGCATTGCTTTAGCACCGCAATAGCAGAGTTGAGTAGTTGTGACAGAGACGGTATGGCCTGCAGAGCCTAAAATATTTACTAGTTGGCTCTTTACAGAAAACGTTTGCCAATCCTGCTCTAGTGTCATCTCTTTTTAATCTGATGACAAGTAAAAACCACCTAAATATTTAAATCATGCGGTTGAGTTGGTTTAGAACCAACGTGGCGAACAATAGGTTATTACATTTTTTAAATTTGCTCCCAAGGAGAAAGAAGATTGCAAATATGTTAGCCGTAAAGGGTGCAATAAACCTGACTAATGAATGAACATAGATTCTGTGATTGGTCTTCACACTGGACTCGGAGCTTCTGACAGTCAGGAAAAAAAAGGGGGTGGGAGGGTGCATAGGGAATGAATCATTTGTATTAGTTACCTATTGCTTCCTAATAACCACCTTAAAAGTTGGTGGCTTGAAATAGCTACCATTTACTGTTTTTCATGAGACTGTCTAGTTGACTGAGTGGTTCTGCTAATGTGGGCTGATCCCAGCTGATGTCGGCGGGCTTCCTCACGCATTTGCGGTCAGCTGGGGTGTTAGCTCTGGGCTGGCTGGGCTGGGATGGCCTCAGCTGGGATGGCCTCAACTATGACGGCTTGTCTCTACTCCACATGATCTCTCAGCCTCCAGCAGGCTGCCCTGGACTTGTTCACATAGCAGTGGCAGGTTCCAAGAAAGAAAGTGGAAGCACACACTGGGCGCTTAGGCTTGCAACTGGCACACTGTTACTTCTATTGCATTCCAGTGGCCAAAGCCAGTCAACAGGCCAGCCTCGATTCAATGGCCTTGGTGGGGAAAGAGACTCTTAACTCTTGGTGAGGGGAGCTGCAAAGTCTCATTGCAGGGGGTAGGGAAACAGCAGGGAGAGAGCGGGGGCCATGATTAAAACCAATCAATCTGCATCTAAAACAGCATGTATTCGAACCATAGTTTTGTTTTGTTTTAAGTCATCTCTGTGGTCTAAAGTGGAAAGGAATAGTCATCACACGTCTATTCAGCCCCACCCACAGATATGAATCATCATTGTCTTCAACTAAGAGGACCAATATCCTCTAGCTAATGACAGATGCAGGGGAGCCATGGAAAGAAACCTGTCAGAAGTGTGGTACATATCGTATGAGACCCAGGCCTGTATTAAATGCCACCTTGATGAATTTCACCAGGGAAATGGATTTACGGCATAAGGAAAATTGTTACCAAAGAACTAACCAATGACCAAATAAACATTAGCCTTTAAGACTAAAGTCTAAACAGACACAGTAGTCTTGCTGACTGTTCCTACCTTTCTCCACTTCCATCACCAGGTGGCATTCAAATTGGTCACTGCATTCAGAGATGGCACTGCTATCTATGGATATGGATGCGATTGAAAACGACAGAGAATAAACGCTCTTTTTAAAACTCACTAGCCATGTGATGATTTTTTAAAAATTTATTGCTGGAATACCTTCGTTATTGCCCAACTTGCCTCAATAAATAATGTGAAGTATAAATAGCAACAGTGATGTCAGAAATCCTCCTTAACTATTCTTTTCCTGGTACCCTGGGCTGTCAGTGGGAAGAGAACAAACATTGGTGGCCCTTGTGCCTTCAGTCATTCAGAATCCCCCAAAACTCAAAAAAAAAAAAAAAAGCAAAACACTAAAAATGAAAACAAAACTCTCAAACCACCCAGACAAGCCACACAACCTACATTCTCTCTGGCCTGGAGCTGGTCAGGGTGCTGGCCTCGTTTGCAAAAAGTAGATGCCTTTACACACGTGGCCCTCCATGGAGCTGCCAGCATCAGACACTTCTGTAGTGGCAGTAGTAGTGCATGGGGAGGAGCATGACAGAATTTAGGCAACTATTAGATAGATGCCTGTTGACTCAGACATCAGGACCAGCTGTGAATGGAAACTTATTCAACTTAGCCACAGTGAAGAGGAACTGAGCTTGTTGATATTATTGAAGAGGTGGAGATGAACTTTCAAAACGCTTGCAGATGACTCGTTCCTGGGAGGGTCAGAGGAAGTTAGGGCTGTGTCAGGAAGAATAAGTGAAGCTTCCAAAACTCGGGTGTAGAAAAATCAGACGTTACCCTTGGGCGGGTCCCACCAAGGTTCTATGACAATATATGAAATTCCCAATGGAGTACTTAGAAGGGTAGACCTCAGCAGATGTTGGTTCCTTTCCTCTCTCTGCCTCTTACACCCACCTTAGGGATTTCTTAAGAAACAGAGGACCTGCCAGCCAGCTGCCACTGGAAAGATGTCAGCTAGGATAAGCTGCTGATTCGGTGGTAACAATCAACAAAATTCCCACTCAGGTAGATGGAGCCAGGCATGCCACCTCTCCCTCCCCTCTCTCTCCTCATCACAGCTTGGACATTCCTTCCTTCCTGCAGAGGAAGCGTGTGTGTTCTCTCAGACCTACCTTGGCATTCCTTGATGTCTTAGAGAAGCAGATGACCCTGGCTGAGCAAGACAGTCAGCAGAACAGCAGCCCTTGATGCTGCAATTGGAAATTTCCATTCTTTGCTTGCAGCTCTGAAAAAAAAAAAAATCTAAAGAGCCCAGGAGCTGGGAAATTTCCACGATGGAAAATTTTAACATATTCTTTAGCTCTAAACTATGCAGGTTTATGGAGACTATTTTTTTTTCTTTTGGTAATTTTCTTCTTGAACAATAATTTATGAATGTGGTAACACTACAGCTGTGGAAATAAGGAAGGCCAGATGACTTGGAGGGGAATGGGGATGGTTTGGCTAGTGGGAGGCTGTGCCATATACGCGTTTGACCACCTGAACCATAGAAATACAGATCACCACAAGACCCATGGGCTGGGAACTCATCCAAAATGAAGACAGCTTGCCCAGGAGCACTGCAGGGAAATCTGTGTAGAGACTGAAAGTGGCAAGTGGATGGGTACAACTTGGGAACAGGAGATGCTGAGGTCTGTTGCTGAAAAAAGCGATCTCAGGCAGACTCCTTTGACCACTGCCTCCTACACCTGAGAGTGCCAGTGCATCACCTAGGAATCTTGTTACGATGCAGATTCTGATTCAGTAGGTCTAGGGTGGGGCCTGAGGCTGTGTTGCTAACTGGCGCCCAGGTGGTGCTGATGGTGCTCTGCTGAGGACCACACTGTGAGTGGCCAGGCCATAAACAACAGGTCCTCCTCACGATGAGGTCAGCTTGCCTTCAACAGCAAGACACAGTCAAAGGGTGGCTGGAGGACAGCTCCCTTGGCCTGCTTTCCCAGGTTCCAAAGCTGATGTCTAAAAGGAGAACCGAATGTCTTCAGGAAAGGTGCTCCATGCAAGAATGGTTAAAGTGGATTTTCTGAAATGTGGGGATGCGAGCAGTTACCAGAGAGCCTGCCTATTAAGGCGGATTCAAGGTGATGTTTTCTCTAACACGATGCCTTTGTAGAGAACCCCCTGTAACAAGTTAATGGAGACGGCCAAGCTGGTCCTCTCTCCTGAGTGATTCTCTGGTATTGTGGCATGTGGGGTGAAACACCAACGAAATAGCTCCACTTATTGAGGGAAGACTGTTGACGAGGATGGTGTAAAAAGGGAAAGGAAAGGATAGTTGTCTTACTTTTGCTGAAATAAAATAAAGAGGTTTAAGAGAATTTTCTATTTTCTTAACGTCTTTCTCACCTTTGTGTTGCCTATTTGAAAGAGAGAGGGGGAAAGAGAGAGATTGAGAGAGACAGATAGAGATAGAGATATAGAGAGATATCAAAATCTATGGCATTTTTAGTCCAGGGTGTTACCTCCAATTGATCTGTAATGTATCTGCTGTGTGTATCTTTGAAGCAACATTTGTCCTAGTTTTCATTTTCCATTCAATTGAGTTTTGGATGGGTTATTACTGCATACTTTTCAAATTAAAGTATACAGAGGAGCATATGGAAAAAAAGGAGGGAAATTACCAGCATGAAAATATGTTGTAATCAGAGTGTAACAAGCATGAAATAAGTTTGACACTATAATAAGACGTATTTAAATATATATTAAAAGCAAATAATATATAAATAATATAAATATCCTAATATTCTAACATTTACCTAATATTTAAAAATTCTAGATGGCGTACAGGATTAAGGATTTGGACTTCTAGAGATCGGTGGATGTTTTCCCTTTCAAAAATCTTCACTGTTCGGTTAAGCTATGATTCAGCGTTGAAATAGACTTTCTGATTATTTAAGTAAAAGACATCAGTTTGGTCTTTTTCTTACTATAGGCCTCAATGAGCAGTTATTCACCCACAAACCACCATACAACCTTACAATCAAATAGAATTTGATTGATCCACATAAAGCCACGTGATTCTAACAAACATAATAATTATAATAAAATGTAATGTTATGGAGTGCTTACATGTGAGGCGCATAGCCCTTACAACAAGCTTATAAGATGGGTACCATTATTATATATTGTAGATGAGCACCTGGGATTTAGAGGTCGTAAGTGAACTGCCTGGGATTCATACTTTACGGCCAAGCAGGGAATAGCCTTCTTTGACCAGCCACCTTTTACTCCGGTGCTCTTTCCAAATGCCACCGCTACGTTTCAGCTTCATGTCCCTTATCCCAGGCAGAGGGATAGATGGAAACTCTTTCTCAAGGTGAACAACTGCACAGAGCTTGATTCAAATACTGAATGTGTTGTCAGTTGCTTACATCTGCTATTTTTCCAGCAGTGCAGTTAAGTCCAGGCAAACTCTTTTGAAGAGCTCATTAAAACGGTGAAAAAAATACAGTCTCAGAAGCAGGTGCATTCATTAGACGGAATGCCGACGATTATGTTAATATCGCATTCAGGTGACACATTTAAAGCCATTGAAATCATGGAGGATAAAAAGGATTTTCGAAGTTCAAGTTAACGTCTTTCTTCGCAGGGCTCTTTGCTCTGTGAAGCATGCGACTGCCTTGGCAGCTGTCAACATGGGGACCCTCCAACGTTACCTCACAAAAATAAAGCTGTTTTCGCAGCATCGTATTTCCTTGACAAATTCTTGGATCTCTATTCAGAAAGAAGAAAGGTCAGGAATTGCCTACAACCCCTGGCACCATTTTTCCAAACAGGAAATCTTGTCAGGTTGGGCCAAGGGCAGAGGAGACGCATTAAAGAAGATGGTTAAAATATGTGGAGGGTGATTGGGGGTGGGAGCGGGGGAAAAACAATATGTGGAGGGTGATTCAAGGTTTGGATAAGACGGAGCAACCGCTGTTTTCTTCTGCCCTTTATTTTTCATCTTGAAGAAATATTCAGCGTGAAATCTGTAATGTGACCCCACATATGTATTTAGGAGGCTGTATATCAGAATGCCAGCAGTGGTTATGCCAGGATGATTTCGATTTTCTCTTGGGGGGTGGGGGTGGTATTTTTGTATTTCTCAAATTTTCTACAGTGACTATGTGTTACTTGGTAAAATTTAACATTATTAAAAATTATGATGGAGCTATTAGCCTCTCCACATGTAGTTGTTTTACCTATAAAAAAATTAGGTTACTATTTAATTGCTTAGCATATGGGAGTTGGATGAGATGTTTCCCCCAAATCCTTTCTTCTCAAATCGAGGATGTCCGTGGAAACATTGATTCCTCCTTTGGGAAGAAAATATATGAGAAAAAGGGCGAAGTATCCGGCCACTTATAAAAAAATTATAAATGTATTTAAAGATTTTGATGTCATCCTTCAGTACCTCAATCAAGTGGGCATTCATCAAAGTGAAGGCATCTGTCACTTGCAAAGGAAAAAAGACCTTTTAAGGCCAAATTAACTTTATTATTATTATTATTATTATTATGTTATTATTTTAGTTAACACTCTGGGAAGCCTTTCTAAGTTAAAACTTGACACCATCTTTTTTTTTCAAATGGTGTACTACAATGACTATATTACTGGTTGCGAAACATAAATAATGAAGCTGTTATAGACTTGAGCGCATCTACTTATAGGACATGTTTACATTGTGTGTGTGTGTGCATGTGTGTGTGTGTGTGTATGTGTAGTGTAACAGTTCTATTTTTTGCCTTTCTTCCTCTGCAACTCTTCTTCTATCTTGCCCTGTACATTATTACTTCCTTTTCTCCTACACGATTTAAAAAGACCATTGATTCCATTTAAAATGAAAAGCGATATAGAAAGCAGGAGAAATCTCCTTGGGGTGGGGTTGGATAAGCATATTCTTCTACATACATGTACACACACTGAATACATGTATGCATAGCCGAATCCCTGCCCCAAACTGCCATAAATCTCATTGCTTGGGGCTTCAGCATGTGGGGAATTTCTTTGATTGCTGGACAGCGCTGAGTCTCCTAAGAATGCTTTCCCACCCACTCCATTTCCTGTTTCATTCTCAGAGCTGCCACCCTCGCAGAAGCAGCAGGTTCGAGACAAAGTGAGGAAGGCGGCTAGAAGAGGCTCCTATCCTTCTGATATGGCACACCACCACAAGACTAGACAGCAAAAACCTCAGTGCGCAGAATTTAAAGATGAAAGGAACTTGAGAGGTGACTGTAGCCAGATGTTCTTTGAATGTATGGGTCTTCTAGAGCATACCGCATAGCCATCCACCCTGACCTTGAAATTTACCAATGACAGACACTGGCTTCCTTTATTTCACTTTTTTTTTTCCACTGATAGATGGGTAGATAAAAAGCACAAATGACAACTGCAGTCAAGTGGGCAATGCCAAAAAAAAAAAAAAAGATTATTCTTAATCTTGCCACCCTTTATAAGATCAACTATTTTTGAATTTCTGTTACTGATCTAGGAAACCCCCACCCCCCCAAAAAAATTAAATAAATGTAAAGAGGCTGAACCATCTAGCTTAAAATGGGGAATGTAAAGAGGCTGAACCATTTAGCTTAAAGATACTTTGGAAATTGTATTGGTTCACGGGGTCCTTCACACCATGAGAGTCAGACCCTGAGGAGGAGAATTGTGTAAAGAATGTGTAAGTCTCAATACCTCAGTATTTACCAAGTCTCTTCCTAATTCATCTCCTTTTGTCACACCTGTACAGCAAAAGAAAATCTGTGAGACTATCTTATCCAGGGATCTTTCCCACATCTACAAATACTATTGGGTTGTCGGAAAAGTCAGGACGCATTTTTACAACGAAAAACATAGAAAAAAATACATCATGACTTTTCCGACAGCCTAATATCTAGGTTGAACAATGTGTTCCCAAGTTACCTAAATTGTGCATCTGACGGTATTCCTTTCAAAGGAAATTGGAGAGTGCAGCAATATTCTGAAATGACCAGATGTGACAACATGAAAAACAAAAATAACAAAAGAAAACCCTTCAAAGAGTGTGCCTTGCAGAAACAATTAGATGTCCTTTTCACCTTTGCTATATGGGAGATTCTTCTCAAATAAAAATAGTTTACAATAAAAGTGTTGTTGAGTTTTGGGAATGCAAATTCAGAAAATTAATTAGCTAATAGAGAGAAGACTGTGAACTACAATTTTGGCTAAGTAAACAGAATGGAGAGCGTTTTTAAAAATCATCATTCTCTTAATGAATTGTAAAAAAAAATTAAAAAGCAATAGAAAAAAATTCCAACAACACACAAGAATATAAGGAAGACAACAAAACAACACCCCACGTCTCACCACCTAAAATAACTTTCATAGATTTTATGGGAATATCATTCCAGACATGGAAATAAGAGGTATTTTAGAGTTTTGAAACGTGAATTGTATTCAGGCAACTAAGAATGGTCTTGCTGATGATGGCCTAAAGAGACCCAAAAGCCAACTTTTTAAAATGTCTATTTCATTTGAAAAGTGATTAGTGAATTTATCCCATAAGTTTCCTTCTCTTGGCGAGGTGAAGTGATTTTTATTTAATTGTTTTTTTTATGAAAAGGAAAGAGTGAAATCTCCCCTCCCCCACTCCTAAACATACCTTACCAAACCCATGTAAGTGCAAAGACTTAAGTGGGGATTTTTCAAACGCCAAGGAAATTTTGCTCCTTTTTAGGCTGCAAAAATCAGGGACATCATGGTCTCCATTACCTGTGTTGAATTCAGGGAGCATTATCCAAATGGCAGTTATTTCTGTTTAAAAATGTTATGGTAATTCTCCTTTCCTACTTACATTTCATTAATGCTGATACAAAATCAGATACGTTTTTCCTGACTTACCCAACCAACTTTACCTTGAGAAAATGCAGGTCGGCTAGGGGGAAGAAGAAAGCCAGCATTTCCTTGGTAACCCGCATATCACAATTGAAGGTGATTGTAATCAAAAGTACTGATTTTCTGCGCAGTAATAGCTCGGTTTATCTCATAAACACTGGGACATTAGACCATCTGATCATCTTTCTGGGGGGGAAAAAAAAGCGTAAACAGTTTTAGTAAATTAAATCATGGTTTTCCACTGACATGTTCGAATGTAAAGATGTCCTTTCACTTTAATTGGTCCTTAATCGAGAGTGGCATTTAACTGTTCTCTTACTGTGGATACTTATGCATATCAAGCAACCGGCACAAAGTTCATACCTCTGCTACTTGGTTTTATTTTTACTGTATACAAAGAGCAGGAGTTGCATTCTATGTAAGGGAGTGAAAGCCACACTTCAAAATACTCCTTCCTTCTTCCCTAAATTCATTACGTGACCACCTCAATTCTTTGATGTTGGAAATTTCATAATTAGTCACAGTTTGGCACCCACTTTGGTGCCAAATGCCTACATTTGTATAGGGCTTGAATGTGTACGCAGCACATTTCGCAGAATGGTATTTGATCCAGATACAAGGAGAATCGCGTTAGCCACCTCTGTTTATAATTTAAACTCCCAAGTCCCAGAGCCATATTCTCAGGCAGAAGTGGGAGGTATTTTGATTTCCATGGCATTGCCTTTGGTTATTGAAAGGAACCCTTCGGATTGGTTTAATAATGTCAAATGTAAAGTTCAGGCTTCTTTTTGCCATGTTAGAAGTAGAACATCTAAATGGCTCTCCAGTGATCTAAATGATTCTGTTTTACTTAGATTCCTGGAAATTGCCAAAGGGCTTTAAGTGGGGGGTGGGGGGGGGTGAAAAAAAAAAGAATGAGGAAATTTTCCCTGTGGGCAACTGGGGAAAACAAAAATATTTTTGTGCTGTAGAGCCTTCTCGGGAAAGGAAGGTTGGCCAGCAGCATCATCTGTGAAAGGGGAATTTCCACATTTGGGAAAACATGGTTATAATTAATCACTTAGGAAAGCCAAGAAAGTGGACCATGTTGGGAAAATGTGATATTCAGCGGCTCAGTCATTGTTAACTGATTGGGCCAGAAAATTGAATTGTTTTAGAAAGACATTTTTATTGGGCTATTTCACTATAGGGCCTTCCTTCTGTGGATCTCATAAATACCCTGCCCTCGCCTGGGAAGGAGCTTCCCCTAGACACACACACACACACACACACACACACACACACACACACACACACACACACACACACACACACAC